AGAAATGCAAAACAAAACCACAATGAGATGCCACCTCACACCTGTGAGAATGACTCATAGCAAAATAAACAAACAAACAACAAAACCAGAAATAAATGTTGGTGAGTGATGGAGGAAAGGATCCTTATTACATTGTTGGTGGGGATGGACACTGAACTAATCCCTGTTGAAAGAAATGTGACAAGTTCTCAAAAGACTAAAAATGGATCTACTATATTTCCTAGAAATTCTACTCCTAGGTATCTATCAAAAGAGCACAGAAACACTAATTTGAAAAGAAACTTGCACTAATATATTTATTGCAATACTATTTACAAACAAGATATTGAAACAATCTAAGTATCTCAAAGCAGATAATGAGTGGATCAAGAAGATGTGTTATACATACACAATGGAATATTACTTGGTCATCAAAAGATAAACTCATGCCAACGTGGATGGAACTAGAAGGGTTTATTCTAAGTGAAGTGAGTCTGAAGGAGAAATAGAAATAGCTGATGTATCAGTTATAAGTGTAATCTGGAGAAGCCAAAGGATCAGACAAAGATTAACTATAAGACTGTAGATCTGAGACATCTGAGAGGGAAGGTTGAGGGTGTGAAAGGGGGAAAGTAGAGTAGAAAACTTGGGGTGAGGAAGGAGACCACAATGAAATGTGGCAGGGGGTTATAGGTGTTTTCCTGGTGTGGATTCTATGCTGATAACACCTGTGGTATAAATACTGTATTGCAAATACAAGTAAACAAGGATGGTAGAGAGAGAGAGAGAGACAGACAGACAAAATAAACACTGACACTTGGTCAGAACCTCTCTCACCTCTCTCAATAGAATAATGCCAGGCAGAAAATAACTATATGGGTTGGTGATATGTGCTGTTTGTTCAGAACCTATATGAAGCTTGTAGTGATATACAAACCTGAGGGGAAACATTGGGAGAGGGAGGTTGAGAAGGGGTGTGAGTAGACCTATTTGTAAGGGTTTTCAGTTTTCCAGACAAAATAAAATTATAACTTAGATCAATGTCATGGTTAAAGTTTTTAAAAGAAATGAACCAAATTGATATTTATTAGCAAATAAAATTGGAGTTGGTTTGCAGAGGAGATGAAGAGAGAGGACTCAAGGGTGATTTGCATAATGGGGTGAGTGTTGGCCCCTTGATCTGGGGTATAAAGCCCAGAGGAAGCTCAGATTGTGAAATCATGAGTTTCGTTTTGGACTTAGGATGTCTTTGAGACATTTAATAGAACTTAACAAGTGGGTGGTTGTCTAAATATTTAAGGATGTGGACTGAAGATTAGACTCCAGTTTATATAGTGGATAATTGAAGGAAGGCATGTTGAAACCCTCTAGAAATAAAACAAAGTAAGAGAAGAGAGCTACAGCTGTGTCTAGGAACAACCAATGCTTAGTAAGTGGGTGGTACATGAGATGCTTACTGCAGAGGTAGAGAAAGGAATCCATGAAGGCAGAAAGAAAACTAGAATATTATATCGTGGAAGCTATAGAAAAATAGTGTGCCAGAAAGCAAAGTGGTGTTGCTACTTTCAAGTGCTTCTGAGAAGAAAAGAAACATGAATGTATGAGAACATTATTTGGATTTGGTGGGGAGGTCTTTGGTCACAATAACAAGTTCTACTTAAGAGGAATAGTGGGGTCAAACACATACTGGAATGAATTGGCAATTATCTTTGCATATTTCCCAGTACCTCTTCTCACACAAATACAGGAAATATCTTTTAAAGCAAATGTACTCAGTTTCTTTCCTTAATATTGGAGGAACCAGTGGAGATTGGAACCATAGATCCAAAGATCAATATCATTTGACAAAAGATGGCCATGAGCCAAACTGCAAATGTTTGTTCAATTCCAAGTATCCTATGACTCTTGAGTCCCTACTGCCTCCTCCCCACAGTGTCTTAGATTGCAGTATCCATTTTTAAATGTTTTTTTTTTGAAGGGGGGGAATAAACTGAAAGGGATAATATAATTTTCTTTTCTCATCACCTAGTTGTCTTTAAAGTACTATTAAATTTGTAATGCCAGCTTCAGTAAACACATAGGGATGATTATTTCTTCTTGTTTGCTAATGTACTTTTCAAAATATTTAAATTTTGAAAGAGAAAGAAAAAATAGAACTTGTGTTGACAACAATCTAGTGAATGAATAAATAAAAAATAAACAGAAAATTTGGAAATGTCATTATCGGAAATTGATGAATTATACCGATAGGAAGCTGCTCTAAGACCCAAAATGATTATTTTCCAAATAATAACCAAAGACCAAATATTTCTCCTGCTTCTTTTAGATCTACTTATCTATGAAAGGAAATATTATTCAGTCCATCAAATTAATTTAAGGACACTCTTTTGATGGCACTTAGCAATTTAGAGGGAAAAAAAAAACTAAGACTTTCTTTTTATAGATGGGAAACATCATTTTCCAAAAGTAATTGAATCAAAATGATGAAATTTGAGGTGAAACAAGTACATATAAAAGACTGTGGAATAAGGATTTGGAGAAATGTATTTGTTCATCCCTGACATCTAATGTGATGCCAAAAAGATGCCTGCAAAGACCCATCCAGGGTCTGTTAAGCTCAAAGTACGTGTTGTCTTAGTGTATAAAGACATTTAAGGTATTTTATTCACTCAATGAGCTCGTATTTTGATCAACTACATCGTTCTCTATACTGCTGTAGGTATCAGACAACAGAGGTTAATCAATGGACAAATCCCCTCCTTCATTAAGTTTATCCTACTGGAGAAAACCAATAATAAATGAAAATGTAATCTCAATAGAAGGCAGTGAGTTTTTCTCTAGAGAAAACGAGAACCAGATGGCGAAAGAGGAGTAATGATGGGCACTATCACAGATACCTCGGTACAGGGATCCCTCTGTGAAGAGGTTATATAGAGCTCTAAGGAACTTGAAGAGGGAGGAGGAGGTTTTGTAATTAAGAGAGCAAAAGAATGTTTTTTCATTATAAAGTACAAAAGCCCTGGAGCCTGCATGGTGTGTGCCCCACAAAGCAGACCCCTGCCAGCTCCATGTCCCCCCAAACCTTGAGGACACAGAGAATGGGTTTACTCCAGTGCCTCCCTGAAGACACTCATCAGCCATCCAAAGGAGAAAAAATCTGCTTTCTATTATTGTCTCGTCTTGGTGAGTTTAGTTTGCAAATTTTCTGTGGTTTCATTAAACTGAACCAGAAGGAGTCTCTGAATAGATCTGTTGCTTTGGGAAACTGGATTAGAAGCCAGCTTGAAGTCTGGCTCCTTGGGATACAGCCAACTTCCCCTGCTCACCTCAGGAGAGATTGCATCCCTTACTGAAAGCTGAGCCAGGAACCTGCTGTCCCCCGAGGCACACTGAGGTGGCAATGAGCCCACCAGAGTACAGAGGTATCCAGCTAGGCAGAGCAAGGTGCATGCACTAGCTCATCACACCCCAAGACCTCAATGAAAACCATAACTTGGAGGACAGGGACAGAATAAAATGGTTGGTGTTTTGACATCTGTGCTCTGCCTCTTCCCACATATCCGTGTGGCCTGGTGAGAAAGCCACAGAGGGTCTTCCTTGGATTTTTAACTTTGGAAAAGGAGTCATACAGATGGTAGTTGAATAAACTTACATCTCTATGGCATAAGAAGTTGCAGTGGCATTCCCTTGATGCAACTCTAAATCCTACATTCTAGGACCCTATACCCTCCCAAGAGATATATTGTAGGTGGCCCACACGTTATTTAAAAGAAAAAAAAAATCATGACTACTCATTATTGCAAAATTGAGTGATTTCACATCAACTCTGAACTAATGCATACACTAGACAAGTAGACAAGTTTGGAAGTTCTGACAATAATTGAATAATTGGACCACCATCCCTCATGGCAGTAATTGACTGGAATTTGACAGATCTCTATAGATGGAACATGTGCCCTCTATTTCACCCTACTCCTCACCATCCCTTATTGTGTTTTGCCTGCTCACTTCACTTAGGTCATTTCCTGTGTAGCAGGAAATGAAATCAGTGCCTCTGTTGGCACTGGTTCTTATGACGCCTCCTTTTAACCCCTTTTCTTATTCTGGTCACCCAGCAACTTACCCTCCAGCATTGAGAACATCAAAAGAGATGACATCATCATGGTGGAAACATCCAGCATGTTGGATGCCAGTCTGGGGCTTTAAAAGTAACACAACACCTGCCTTATTTCCTTCATCCTCACATTGTAGTAAGATGACAGAATGATAGTAGTCATAAAATTGATTAGTCAGTAATGGGAGAAAGTGTAAGATTGTGTGCGTCTAAGATGTGACAAGTTGTCCTGTGATGAAAAAAGATGGGGCTTTGTCAAAATTTGGAAATACCAACTTCAGCCTATTCTGGCAAAAGACAGTTTCAGACAAAGTGTTCTCTGGTGTTGGCCCTAAATTGTAGGCTCCTGAAGGCACTAACCAGAGGTCCTCTGTTCACCAGAGGTTGCATGGTGGAGTGTCCAGGGAGCACAGGAAACATCGATAGAGATGTTTATGGAGGAATGGAAATCAAGGTGTCATCATGCATGGGCTCTTACCAGGTCAGCCTGGAGAACTCCCGAAAAGAGTAAGAACCATACCTTTTGTCGTCCTGAGTAGCTACAGAAACTCCATGTGGTTTGAAGTTGCTCAGATGATGATGGCACACAGAGAGGAAGAAAGATTTTACAATGGAGGCCAACTATTCCTGCATGAAAACACCATTTTGCTTGTTCAGCCTTGAAACATCTTCCTTTAATTAGTTTCTCCTGCAGTTGTTTCCTAAGGCTGATGAACAGCTGGCTTGACTTGAAGTTACACAAAGAGTTGGGTTTAAGAGTACATTGTAGTATCTGCTACTTGATCTAAGAACTCTGGGGGATATTTTGAACATCTTGTTATGAGTCTGCCTATATTATTACCGCCTGTGACCTTCCCTTTGGTAGCTGCCAGTGCTGATTGGAACTCATCTGCTTCTTTGTGAACAGGATTATGGAAAGGAGGAAGTTGGGAAGATGTGAACAAGATCGACAACGGCTTGCACACTTTGAAGAATACCCAAAACGTCTTTGAAAATGTAAGCCATGGCTGGGTAATTCAGGATAGACATTTTGATCCTTTTTTTCCCACATTTTAAGCAGGTAGCTATGCTGAGTAGTAGCATGCCTCCGAGTTCTTTGGCAGGCTGAAAACAGAATCTACAGGAAGATCACAGTTCTTCCTGTCTTTGAGCTTGGTGTCCTGGGGGGAGAGGGACAGCAGGGGATTCAGGTCTTGAGAACAACAAGGTTCAGAACAGGCACAACCTCTCTTCCACTTCATCTGTTTCTTAAGATGAATCACAAGTTCAGCTCAGATTCAGCAAATAGTGAAATAGACCCTGTCTTTTGATGGAAGTGGCTACAGAGTCACATTGCAAATGGTACATCTACAGAGTGGTTTGGGAGATTGGGACCATCTGCAACCAGCCATTAAATCAGTGCTTGTCTGGAAATTTGTTGAGACCAGAGTTCTTATGGAAGATTGACAACTGGGAGCTTATTCTAATTGAACTTACTCTGAGCTTTGAAGTTATTTCTAATTAATGCTTACTAACAATAGTCCATTGCCTTCCTACTGAACACAGATATCTAGAGGACAGGAACTAATATTTCTTCCTGTATCATTTTCAGAACTTAACATCATTTTCTTGTTGATTTCTTTAAGTCATATTATTGTTGAGAAATAATACTGTCTTGGTTCTTGGACTTAGGAAACCACAAATTAGAAATAAAATGTGATGTGTAAAACTCAACTATATATTTCGTTATAATTTTCCTTAAAATTGTCTCCATTCCCGTCTCCCTTTCTTGATGAGCTGTTAAAACTCACTCTTGTTTGGGGGGAAGGGTGCTCCCTGTTGGCCTAGAGGTTAAGTCTCAGCACTTACATTTCTACAGCCTGAGTTCGATCCCTGGGCAGGCAAGTGACCCACATATGGCACAGCAGACCTCTCCTGTCTCACCGCTGCTCCTGTCAACAGTGTATTTCAGTAAATCCACCATTCTGCTCCTCACTCTCTTCTCTGGTAAATTCTCTCACCGCCCCCTCCCTTCTGCCTACACCCCCATTTTTCTACACATGACCTCACTCGTGGCCATTAGTGGGGTTTTGGTAACCTCCTTGGGGAAACCAAATATCTGTGGAAATTAGATGAAAGGACTCAGGGATCCCTTTTCTGCTAATTCAAGTCCATGTGCTCCCTCAGCATCGAACAGAGTTGAGTTTCAAAGCCAGATATGGGGACTAGAATCTTTTTTTATTATTATGAAATGTTTATTGTCTTACATCATTGCTCGGTTTTGAACATTTGATTTCTCCTCTCAGGTATTGTCCCTGTGAATCTCCCACCAACACATCACCCATAAACTGTCACCAGAGTCTCTTGTGTTCTTCCACCCCATTTGACCTTTCTTCTCCTCTCCCCTGCTGGATGCCTCACAGCTATGGTTTGCCTGCAAAGTTTGTCTTTTTCCTGGCCCTTTGTCAGTGTCTCTGTATCAGAAAGGACATATTCAAGATCCTACACTGGGCTCTCCCTGGTGACACAAGGGGCTAAACACAGCACTGTGAAGCTGGCTGTAGCCACTGCAACATGAGTTCTATCCCCAGCCAGAGAGCTGATCCATGTGACATAGAATACCTCTCCTGACCTGCCCACTGATCCCTCAGCAATGTATTTCAGTCCATCTGCCTGTTCTGCTCCCCACTCTGCCCCTGGTAAATCCTTCCACCCCCTGCACCTCTGGCCTGTACCCTAGTTCTTATATGCATAAATAAATAAATATTTAAAAAAAAAAGAGATCCTGCCCTTTATGCTCCCTAGAAGCTGTACCACCACCATTATAGCAAGCCTGGCTGGCAGAGGGTGAGACACTCTATGGAGTAGAGTTGAGTTCTCTGGGGGTTATTCAGCAACTAACTGACCTTACTTCATTGGCAGAGCCCACTGCCCTCAGGTAAATCTGTCCCAAATCAAGGCCACCATAGACAGGAACAGTTGGAAACATAATGCTGGCTGTTTTAAGTGACTGAATTTCATGGTAGTTGGTTACACATTACACAGGATGGTCACATCCATAGCAATTGCAAGGAGTAGCCAGCTATCAAGTTCCTACAAGAAAGGCTTCAAGGATTTAGTCAAGGAGGCAGGACTAGAATCATCATCTGGGCAAGGGAAATGGCTTTTGGTGACTTGGTTTCAGCCTTTCCATTGTTATTAGAGTACTAAGTCGTTCAGGACCTGTTTCTCTAGCTCCTTTTCTCACTGTGTCTACTTTTCTCTTATTCTAAAAAAGAATAGCTGAAAGTATAGGGCCTGGTCTCTAGGAGAATCGTTGGCCTTCCATTTTATCTCAGCGCCAGTCCTGCCGGGCCAACCTCAGGACCTCTCTTTCCCTTCATTTAAACTCTGGGGACTGGAAAACTTGGGACCTCTGGCAGATTTATATAGTGCTCACCAGGCCCAGGAATCTCCTCAGTGCCCCATAAAACAAGGTATTTTTGCTGTTGTTTTATTCCCAGGACCCAGACTTTCATTCCAAAATAAAACTTAGAAATAAAAATAAAGCTTTCTTCACTCCTGGGGCTTCGACCCTCTATGCCTACAAGTCTCCCTGCCCTCCTGGTTCTCAGGATCTGGGGCTGTAACTCTCAGGATTTCCAACTTCCTGCTTCTTTCCAAAACTGATGCCACTTTCCCAGGCTGGGAGTCAAGTCTGAAGGGGTCAGTCCCTGGAATTCCTTGTGGTAACAGTGGGGAGACAACCACTCCTGTCTGTTAATTGGCACAGGAAATGAGCAAAGTTGAATGTGGTTCTCCTGTGATTAGAAACCTTTCAAAACAACAAGCAGGGCTGAGTCTTTCCTTAAAAGAAGGGGGTGGTAGGGGTTTGAGAAACTGGAGAGCTATCTAGGTGCTTTTGTGAAAAAAAAAAAAAATGTTTCTTTAGTTTTGTAGGGAAAAAAAGTAAAACAAAACTTGAAATTGTTCCTTAGGGGCTCATGGGTCTCCCTCATTTTTTTGTTTCCTCTCTGTGTTGCTAAATTAAATCACACAAAATACATCCCGCTTAGTGTCTTTTCTCCTTCTTTTTTTTGTTCCCCTAATGTCTTCATAGCAGTCCTTTTAAGGATCTAAGAGTCTTTTCAAGTTCTGCCTCCTCTCTCTCTCCCTCTCTTTTTTTTTTTCTCTCTGACAGATGTTGATTTTTAACCATTCCTCCTTCTAAGGTTTCAAAACCATGAGGGAGTTTATTCCTGAAAAATTGAAACAACTAATCTGGAGTACATCTTTCTTTTATTTTGTTTAAGAGATACTTAGGGAAAAGTTGAAGGCCCTCCTTCAATATTATTGAGATGTAAAAAATATACACACAGAGACAAGAATCTAATTTTTTATCACCTACGTTCAAATCCACTCCTAATTTTGCGTAGACAGCAGTCAACAGATACTTTCTTTTGGTTCCCCCTAACTGCTTAAACTCAGTCCTGGGCACAGAGTAAGCACTTACTACATATTTGCTGATGTGACTTAGAGGCCTGTGCTATTTCCTACAGATTAAGCAATTTTGACACCATAATCCCTAAATAATTCCCAGGAAGTGCCTTGCACAATGGTTTCTATTGCAAGCACATTAAGGCTCCTGATTCCTGTCTTTTGCTGTTTGTTTCTGGTTCATGTGTCAAGCCATTCACTCATTGCCTCTTGGTTCAACTTGAGACAAAAAGGGCATTTTTATTATCCATGTCTCAGAAACTAGACTCCAAAACAGAGAAATTATTTTTCTACTTTGCTGAGTAATATAATGATTATGACCTGCAAATATTTGGAGAGAGGTAGTCAAATGTAGCAAGGAGAGAAGACGATATGTTCAATAGAAGTGAAACGATTCCAATTCTAAGGTCTACTCTGAGCATAGGAAAACATGGTGAAATATTATAGCAGCAACAGCAATGGTTATTGAACTGTGAAAAGCGTTTGTTACATAAAGAGGGCCTTAATTCCTTTGATGCTATCAGGGAGGGATGTATTAGGTTCTGCAAAGCAAGTGGCATTGACCAACAAATGCATTTTTAAAATGTTCTTCCCCTTTAATATCAGATGACGATAGCAATCTCCAGGCTATGGGTTATTCTCCTTACCCATCTCAAAACAAGTATGATGGCCATTAAGAACACCTAGTAAGAAGGCCATTTTAATTTCCATAATGAGTCACCTCCACATCCCGCTGTCTATTGTATTTGCATTTTTCAGAATCACAAATGGGGCATCAGGATTATGTATAAATAAATATTGCTCTTAATAGAAATAAAAGCCCATAATAGGCCCTAAAATCTCCGATGATCACATGTAAACATACCCACCTTAGTTTGTATTAACATCCTAAACTGAAGAGTTCCACAGAACCACCTTAATCCTTTAAACTGTTATGTTATTAAAGAAGGCATGGAAAATCATCACACTTGATTTTGGGATGGCAAGAATATTTTTAAGTAAAAACTTATGAAAATGTCAACTAAAAAATTTAAATAGTTTCTTCCAAGTGCTTTTTCAATTGGTAAATTACAAAAACAGTGTTTAGTGTGGCAGTTAAAATGGAAATACGTCTAATGGGCTCAAATTATAAGTTGGACTGTGATCTTGCAATATAAGCAATCTAGAAGACTGTGACAACATCAGGATCCCTAGATCCAGACTGTAGATCTGTTCGCAAGAAAAAGCTTAATTGTGGGCACTAGAGGGATGACATGCTGTGCTTTTTGCTGAAATGCTAAGATGTATGTCTCACTAAGGGCTGTATAGAAGCTGCTTCCTACTCATGTTCCTTTCTTTTGCAACTATTTACAAATAGCATGGAGAGAGCTGTGACATCTGTGTGTCTTACTGATGCAGCGATAGGATGCAAGTTCTCTTCATAAACCCACACTATTTTTTTAAGTCAGAGCTTGATTTCTGGCCAGTTTATCAGGCTTCTGGTTGGAAATTGACAGAGATAATATCCCAAATGTAGTGTTCTGGATTCAGTTTATTGCCAT